AGCTTTATTAAGCTCCCGACGGCGGCAGCTCCTCCCCTCGAAGCCCCAACGCAGCGTTTTCTTGTTCCCAGTGTTCACGGAGGGGGAAATAACTGCCTGTGTGTCTGTTCATAACCCAGTCAATAAAATGTTTTTAAATAAAGAAAGGCTTTAACCGGGTATTTATGTCAGAAATGCTTAAGTGTATTTATTTTAAGATGGGGAAAATCCTGTTTGTCTTGCTGAACAAACCCAAATCTTCACACAGCTGGAGTGAAAACGGTTGTTAAGTAGCACAACAAGAAGACGAGCCGAGGTGGCGCAGTGGTTAGGGTGCAGCACTGCAGGCCACTTCAGCTGACTGCTATCTGCAGTTCGGAGGTTCAAATCTCACCGGCTCAGGGTTGACTCAGCCTTCCATCCTTCCGAGGTGGGTAAAATGAGGACCCAGACTGTGGGGGCGATATGCTGACTCTGTAAACCGCTTAGAGAGGGCTGAAAGCCCTATGAAGCAGTATATAAGCCTTATTGCTATTGCTAAGACGAAGGAAGGGCAGAGAGGGAAAATGGGGCAGTTGAGTCAATAATTGGCAGGTCAGACATTGCTTGTTGTCTCATAACCCAGACATGATTTGAAAATGCTGTGGATTTTTCTCGGTGCTCCTGTGAAGGGTCTGAAGCGGAGGCCCACCTGTCCAAACGCCAGACGGCAAAAGGAGAACTTATTAGGCACAGAAAAACAACATTTTCCGCTCTCCTTTGCCCCCTTTTTGGTTGGAATGGGGCATTGCTTCCCTGGCTGGAGGTTTGGGCAAAATCCCTACCTTTGTGTCCACGTTGGGTTTAAAAGTGGGTGGGGAGACCTGGGCTTCTGGGCAACGTGACTGGCCAGCCTGACCCGGTGCCAGGAGGCTGGCATTGAATTCACTGGGCAACCTGTAGCAGCGCTTGCTCCGTTTCTCCAGTAGCTGAAGATCTCCTGGTGGCGCCCCATCCAAAGGCCACCCAATAAGCCCTGCCTGTGGGGCGGCTAAGCTGCTCTGCGCACGCGCAGAGTGCGTTCCCCGTGCATTTCTAACGGAGAAGCCGTTCCCGAAGGGCGATTCCCTCCGGTTAGAGCCAGCCGCACATGGAATGCGGAAGAACCTTCCGGCTGCTTTTTCTGCACATGCGCCGCCCTTTCCCGGCGCCGTCACCTTCGCTTCGCTGCCGAGCGCTCCACGCCCTCCTCAGGGGCGCATGCGTGCACGCGGTCGCGCCTTTCGGCGACGCAGAGGCTCTATGGTCGCGGCCACGGCGTACATCGACTTCCGCTTCCGGGCCCCGCTCGGTGGTATCGGAAAGAGGCGGGCATCGGAGCCGGCGGCCCGTTTCTCCGCGTCGGAGGTCTGGAGGAGCCCGGCGGGCCCCGTGCGGGCGAGGGAGCCCTCCTCGCCGAGGTAGAGCCGGGGGAGCCGCTCCCCCCCCCGGGCCTCGCCCTGCCTGGGACTCCGCGTCCCATCATCCGCAGCCGGCTGTGCGCCCCCTGTCCCATCAGCCTCCCCCGGCCAGCGCGGCTCTCCCGGAGCCCAGGCGCGCCTGGGGTGGGCGAAGGCCGGTAGGGGTCGTCTCCCCAGAGGGGGTGGGCGCTGGGGGCCCTCCTGCAAAGCCCGTGCAGGGCGCCCCCTTCTGGCCAAACACGCGTGTCCGCCGGTGCCCACGTGCAGAGGAGAGGCGGTGGGGATTCTCCTCCCCCCCCCACCCCGCAGGTGGAGCGTTGGGGCTGGTTGGAGGCCCCGTAGCCCAGGAAAGGCCCCCGTGGCGCCCTCAGATACAGATGGACAGAGTTGGAAGGGACCTTGGAGGTCATCTAGTCCACCCACCCCCAAGCAGGAGACCCTACACCGTTTCTGACAGGAAGGCCTCCGAAGAAAGCGTGTGCATGTGTGTGTCTCTGCCTGTGCGTGCATTGCACTACAGTAAAAAGGGGGTGCGGGGAGGGGGGCTCAGCCTCTTTGCAGCAGGAGTTTGGGGGGGGGGGATCCCTTCCCTGCAAAGCCTCTTTTTGCAACCGGAAGATGCATTTATTCCCATCTTGTCCCTGACTTACGTGGCGCAGTGGTTAAATGCAGCACTGCAGGCTACTTCAGCTGACTGCTAGATCAGCAGTTCAGCGGTTCAAATCTCACC